CTCTCTTACACGAACACACATATACCCTTACACGCACAGACATATACACTCTCTCACACACACGTATACTCTCTCACACACGAATATACTCTTTCTCTCTAGCACACCCACACGCACATATACTCTTTCACACAAACATATACTCTCACACACATACTCTCTCTCGCACACATACATATACTCTCTCATAGAAACACATATTCTCATACACATACACTCTCACACACACACGTATACTGTTTCACACAAACATATACTCTGTCACATACTCTCTCTTACAGACGTACATATACTCTCTCATGAAAGCACATACTCTCATACACATACTCTCTTTCACATAGACATATACTCTCTCTCACACAAACACATACCCTCATACACATACTCTCTCACACACATATACTCTCTCACACAAACATATATGCTGTCACATACACATATACTCTCTCTCACACACACACACATATACTTTCTCTCTTACGCACACACATGTACTCCCTTACAAAAACATATACTCTCACACACAAATGCTCTTTCTCTCGCATACATATACTCCCTCACACTCACACATACTCTCTCTCTCACACACACAAATACTCTCTCTCTCACACACACACAGACACACACACCTATGCTCCCACACATACAAACATATAGTAAGACCAGATCTTGAACACGTCCGATTGTTCTAATATTAACTTTGGTCTCTTTTAATCAACGATATAGATAGACATTTATAGACTGGAATGCTTAAATCGTTTCCCATTTCAATGGTACTTTAATCTTAACGCGATTTGGAATAGGAAAAATATTTTTGACTTAGAAGGTCATAATAACTTTTGTTTATTATGGGGCCTTCGGATAGATGTTTGTAATGCATTATTAATGCGTTTTTACGTTAGAAATGCATTGAAAATCAGTGCGGAAAGCATGGTCAGGGGTCAGGAAGTAATACCGGATAAGAAAATGTCTATTATATGTAGAATGAAAATGCATTGCTAATGATTTGACTGTAAAATCATTTTATTTGATATAAATGGTTATTTGTTTTTTTTCCGCAAGCTGTTTTGACTTGCAGAATGTTTCAAACGAACTAACACTCATTAGACAGCGGGGGATATTATTATTATTATTATTATTATTATTATTATTTCTATTTTATCCTTCTTTCCTTTCGGGTCTCAACCAAAGACCTAAGGAAAGGTATGAACTGTATATGTGAAAGCGATGTTTTGTATTTCTTTAAGGCATAAGCTATCAGGCGTGTCTGTCTGAACCATTTCCAATCAAATCGAGGGCTCCAACTACAACTGAAATTTGTACCACATGTTTTAGATTTCTACTCCCAAATCCTTGTATTTTGACAGTTTTTCCTTTGATTTCTGGTGTATACTCATTACTTTCCGGGACTGCTTACGGTCAAATCACGCTGAAACACCGGTTCTCGTACGATCACCGAAGTTAAGCAGCGTAGAGCCAGGTCAGTACTTAGATGGGGGACCGCTTGGGAACACCTGGTACTGTAAGCCCCCAAAGTCCAACCCTTACCTCACAGTCGGTGGGGGGGGGGTGTAAACGGTAGTGTCAGAGCTATGCCGCCCGGAACTTCGTTCCTGGTAGGGCCACCCAAGGCGGACAGGTCTGACACACACGCCGGCTAACAAGGGCTCTGGTGAAAATCCAAGGAGCGTCTGTATCGGTAACCGGCGGCTTCTGGTCGTTCCTGTCTCTGCGTCTGTGGGAACCCCGCGGCAAGCAAGAACGTTATCCGAGTAGGCCTGGGTACCCTACTTCTGTAATTTATCCCAAGAATCTTCTTCTCATAACAGGAAGAAGCCGGCTCAATCCGCCCAGGGTGAATGCCGCATCAGTACAGTAGTACAGTACTTTCCGGGACTCAACCAGTGACCTAAGATCAAAAATGGCACCATGACATTTTCCACTGATCATTTTTTTGAAAATATCACACACATTTTACATAGATAAAGCCCTTTGTAATGTGTGAGCTGTACCTGTGAGTACATACTTTTGTATTTCTTTCAGGCATGAGTCTGTCGGAAAATTTTAAATCAATCCGAGGGCTCGAATTACGACTTGAAATTACTGATGTCCTCATGTGTCATATTTTTGAGATTTCCAATTCAAGGTCACTGTATTTTGACAGTTTTATGAAGATCTTCAAAGATACATTACAATCTGCAGGGACTGCCATGTCAATAAGAAAGCACATTCTGCTTTCGTGGTCTCCTATCACGATGTCTGGAGGATTATTATTTATTCTTCTGTCTGTGTGTATTGTAAAGTCCCATAATAATATTACAGGTGTGGCACCATTTACCAAGGCAAAAAAAGAAAAGAAAGGAAAGAGATGTAGGAAAGAAAGGAAAAGAGGGGCGAGACCCAAAGCGTGGATGATAAGTAGGACACCCACGGCTATGGATAAAGGATATTTTGATAAGTAACAAATGGCGAAGAGTGTCATTACAATGGCAGGGAAATTCTGAGTGGATAAAGGAATCGGGTGTGTTCTGGCGACGGGCTGGTGTTATCGGTGATACATAAACAAACCGCTAATGCGGGAAGACATCTGATTAAGCAAACCACAGACCGACTAGCCAAAGAAAAATCCAATTGAAAATGTTATTTTGATAATTGACATAAAACAGGTGAACTACAGGGCTTTGGATAGATATGAAAAATTAATTGTGTCAAAGCCGCACACGAGGTGGCGACTGACCGTTTTTCTTTTAACAAGACATCTTAGGCTGCGATAATAAATCTATGTTATCAGAAATGTGTACCAAAGAATGACTGGAAACCTAGAAATGTTTCTTTTCGAGGTGACGGACGATTGTGTTGTGTCAAATAGACCACCCATTCTGATAATTAGCGATAATCTGACTGACGAAGTCCAGGTGAGAACAAGAGTTACGACCACCACCGATCGTATTGTTCTAATTGCGGCCAGAGAAAATGAGAGCTGCGATTAAAAGAAAGAAAAGGAAAAGAAAAAGATAATTTTTTTTTATTAAACAAGATATTTTTTTCCTGAAACAAAGCCCGCGGAATCGCACAGGTTCGGCTAGACATCATTGGCCGAGTGGTGATCACGTGACGCAAGGAGGAAGCTGTCGCCGCCCATCTAGAGGATGGGTATGAGAGGTTGCTACGAAGAAGTGGGGAGGGCAGTTCACGCCCCTTTGAAGTATGGTGAGAAGGTGGGAGTAAGAAGTGTTGAAACTCGCCTAACGGAAAACAACGTGTCACAATCCATAGAGCGGGTCGGGAGATAGACGCAGTCCTATGTATCCAACAACTAGACATAAAGTTTGTTATCCTTTTTTTTTGATACCTTGAATTTTTGAGTTATCATTTTATTTTATTTTATGCATATTTGTGAGGTGTCACCCCCGTTTGAACCCGATTTGCATTACGGCCCCAACTACTGATTGATTTCGTCTGCCTAAGATCAATTCACAACGTGGGTAGGCAGACTGGAGATCAATGCAGTTACGTTGGTAACCAGACGTTGAAAGCGAGTTGGGAACGACGAGGCTGGTATCCAATCTAACCAGATTCCCATCCGAATCACCAAAAGGTTAGAACGTCACATTTGGGTGCCGCAACCGATACCAAGACGTCAGTCGTGTTGTCACAGGACGAGACAACACGACTGACGCGACAGGCGGACGTCAGGTTTGGAGCGGCGACACCCGAACGAAGCAGCGAGGAGCGAGCGAAGGCTGTGTTCAGGGACGTCACACAGGTCACATGACTGTAACAGATCTGGGGTAGTTTCTTTCTTGCAGTTTCCTTCTCGCAAAAATTACATATTCTTCAGTGAAGATATTGGCCCACTTTGTCATGCCGAGCTTTATATTCAGTTGGTGTCAAAACCTGATACAAGATGGTCAATTCTTCTTCTTCTTCTTCTTCTTCTTATTATTATTATTTCTTGCGATTTCTGTTGTATACTCATATCCTTCCGAGTCCCAACCAGAGATCTAAGGGCATCATGACATTTTCCATAGAGCATTTTTGCAATATATATGTAGGGGTGTATATATATATATATATATATAGGCCAGTAGACTAAAATAAATGGAGATAAATATAAGTAGAGAATCTACTCAAATATGAGAATCCATTAAAATGCGGTTTAAAATTATATATATATATATATATATATATATATATATATATATATATATATATATATATATATATATATTAATGAATATATATAATATCTAACGTCGATAGCATGACACGGAGTTTCATGCAAACTTGTAATCTTCCGGTTGCGAAATATCGACTGAATTAACGGCGTTGAATATTATGTATATTCACAAATATATAGTTAATGGCTCTGTTATAAAATGCTTTTTAGAGCGCACACACACACACACACCCACACACACACACACACACACACACATATATATATATATATATATATATATATATATATATATATATATATATATATATATATATCGACAAACTACGATAAACCCACGCCTACAAGCATTGGCTTGAAGCAAAAAATGCTTTTTATTTCTGAATGCTTGTAAAAGTCTTCAAGCGTTAGGCGGACATGTTTTCCTAACGTGTGCTAATTTAATCAATTGAACACTTTTCTTGAGTAAAAGAGACGATGGACACACATCAAACATAGAATTGGTAGGAATTCTGACAATCAAATGATGTGCAAATTCTTCAAAAGCCTTCTGACAAGTTTGGAGCAAGAATGAGGTTCAATGAAAATTAAAAAATCTAAAGACTAAAAGGAAAGAGACGAGCAAATAAATATGGTTGACAAGGAAACAAATTGAAAGCTAAAGAGATAAAAGCGGAAGCCTAAAGTGAAAGTGAAACCACAAAGGATAAATATGTGACTGGAAATGTATTGTCTCTACAAAGAGGCATAAACTTTCTTTAGGATTGGTTGTGTCTAATTTCGTACGTGTGTTAAAACACACATTCCTGATGTCCATGAGCGTTATCTATCTATCTATCTATCTATCTATCTATCTATCTATCTATCTATCCGAGATAAATACAAAATGAACAGACTGAGATACATAGATAGATAGAAAGATAAATAGATAATGAACAGACTGAGATAGATAGATAGTCTGTTCATTATCTATCTATCTATCTATCTATCTATCTTAGTCTGTTCATTTTCTATCTATCTGAGATAGAAGGATAGATAGATAATGAATAAACTTAGATAGTATGTTCATTATCTATCTATCTATCTATCTATCTATCTATCTATCTATCTATCTATCTATCTATCTCAGTCTGTCATCTATCTATCTATCTATCTATCTATCACGTTCTATGTCCAAATTTGTTATCCCTACTACTAAGTTTTATATCAACACCTTCACGTCAATCGAAGATATAATTAGGAAGAAAAATAAATTCATCGTCACATCAGAAACAGATTTATTAAATAAAGTGCTTGCAATGTAATAATACTGATATTGGTAAGACATCTTGAAATCTAAAGGCCTGTTTCTACTAGCACACAAGGTATCTACATTGGGACAATGTTTTAAAATCACCTGTAATACACAGGAACAAAACTGGCCATATCTTTAATTTTACAGATGTCACCCTAATTAAAAAAAAAATTCTTTACGTCGCAAAGAAATATTGGCGATGTAATATAGTGTTTTTGAAATAATGTAACGTATGATTATCTACCACAACCAGTGTTTATGCAAAAACGGACGCAAATCGACATGCGGACAACCACCAAACATAATAATGTCTACTGCACACACACACTCACACACAAAACCCACACACGCGCGAGTGCGCACACACACAAACAAGCAATGAATTTTACTTTGTTTACAGCAGCTAAACCGAGCGGTTGCTTTAATAGCATGAGGCAAGGATACTCGGCTGAGGGTAAATCTGCCTCCTCCCGCAAATGCTACAGTTTACAAGTCAATGATGCCGTTTCGTTTTGGAAATATATCTTACACAGATATAGAAAGAAACTCTGGTTTGCAGTCCTCAATTTAGGAAAACCCATAACTCGCCGTTTCCCATTCGTGGAATATGTTATCGCCAGGATCATAGCAAATAAATCTTACTGGTTTCAATATGAAGTCCTAAACATGGCTTCTCCAGAAACACAGAAGAATCTCCATATAATATGTAAGACCCTTCCTTTTTGCTTCTCCTCACACTCGGCTCGCTGTGTACATATATGTGATATATAATTACCCGCGTGTGTCAAGTGTATATATGTATATATAGTTTTGTGTATATCATAGTGGTATAAAAATCTCTCTGCGAACAAAACATGGTTGTCATTGCTTTTCCTTTCAACCATTCCGTTTCGTCCGTGAATTATGGTTTTATTATATCACGGGTATAATAATGCCCATAATGAGAAATATGAATGGGAGAATAAACATTTCTCCATAGCTCTCTCCTTCTGTCTATCTATCTAGGAGTATTTTCATAACTGTCTGCCTCTATACTGTATATCTCACATTCTCTCTCTTTCTTTCTTTTCTTTCTTTCTTTTTTCTTTCTCTCTCTCTGTATATATATATATATATATATATATATATATATATATATATATATATATATATATATATATATAAATGAACAGTGAACATTTCTTATTATATGAAGCATATTCAAAAAGGCTAAAAATAAGAGAAACATTATAATTAAAAAAGTAAAAGCCAACACTCAATAATATCAACTGTGAATACGGCCACACTGTAATGACCGTGTTTAGAAAATAGAACATGCCTATAACTCTAGATACATACATAAAACCATCCATATATTCTGTTAAATGTAAAAAAATATATATCCTTGAAAATGGGCAAAAGTATAGCCGTAAGCGCTTGGATATCTAAAACATTCGTATTTGGATTATATACCAACGGATTATATATATATATATATATATATATATATATATATATATAAAAGTAACATTGAAGTCAACACTCAGAGGCGACAGGCTGTTTCATGCTAGACGCAATCGTCAGTCCGCCTGATGATTGCGTCCAACATGAAACAGCCTGTCGCCTCTGGGTGTTGACTTCAATGTTCACTTTTATATTCATATTTACATAGGCACTATCTCTGATATTGAGCACTTAATCTCATAAATATAGCACACCTTAAAACTATTTCTTTATATATATATATATATATATATATATATATCTATATATATATATATATATAAGGGGACACTGAGAAGATTGCGTTTAAGCATGAAACAAAGTGTCGCTGCTCGATGTTGACTTTAATGTCTCATTTTATATATATATACGTTCTATCCCTTCCATAACTAGCATACATTAAAACTATATTTTATCATATAATAATAATAAGAGCTGGCCACTCAGATTTGAGGATAGCCGTCTACTATATATATATATATATATATATATATATATTGAAGTTACGAAGAACTTGGTAAACCGAATGGGTAATTCCAGGGAGGATGAAATCCTGAGAGCTCAATGTGAATACAAAGCTAATATTTAATGAAATCAGACCACTTAAGGTACCATTACAATAATTTATTTCAGCAAAATCCTTTTTAAAGGACTCCGGATATTCAGGTAAATTCCAACAACGAAATGAAAGGAAAAAAAAATCAAAGTATTATTTTTTTTTCCTTTCATTTCGTTGTTGGAATTTACCTGAATATCCGGAGTCCTTTAAAAGGATTTTGCTGAAATAAATTATTGTAATTGTAATGGTACCTTAAAGTGATCTGTTTTTCATTAAATATATAAATATATATATATATATATATATATATATATATATATATATATACTAGTTCAAAAGTTTGAAGCCGCCCCCAGAAATAATAGCACGGGATGAACTTGACAGAAGAGAGAAAAAAAATGACAAAAGAGCGCTTAGTGCCTCTGAAAAAAAAAAAAAGAATGGAATCAATTCTTTTTCTACTTTTATGTGTCTTTTCTTTTCAGGATATAGGCGATTATGGCCCTCCATCTCCTCCTGTTGTAGCTCTTAATAAGTTTTTTCTTTTTGTTAATTCTCCCAGACCCTGATCCGTTATCCACTTGCTCAAGCCCATTAAGTATATCACACGTGGGTTTCCCCAGTCCCGCTCTCCCTCTATATGTCTTGTAAGTAGCAGACATTCCAACCCCTCTTTTCCTCATTATGTACTCCAGAGATTTCAATTGCCGCTTTCTGATGTTAAGTATAAGTTTTCTCTTTGATTCCATCCTCTCCAAAAACCTCGTTGTTGCTCACATGTTCGGCCCATGGTATCCTCAGCATCCTTCTGTCGAACCATACTTTTATTGTTTTGAGTCACTTCTTCATCTTTGAAGTTCAAAAGTTTGTGTCACCCACCCCTGTTAACTTTTTAAATTGTCCCCAAAAGAGGTGAAGATGCAAAAGAAATTGTCGGTTTCCTGTACCGCTCCACTAAGTACCAGACCCCACAGTACTAGATTGGCGGGTAGGTCTTATAATTTTATTGTTGAAATTGCTAGTTGTAACTGTAAGTTATATGTTAATAGTTTCGCTTGTGGAAATCTGTTCTGGGTTCTTGCTTCAAGTCAAATTTGATCTTCAAAAATCTAAATGCAATGTCAATCGTCATCTTCTGTCTTCTTGAACCCTGTTCTTTTATTGTCCTCTCTGTTCTTTTTTTCATTCTATGTAAACCCTTGTGACCTAGTAGTTTTTTTTATTGTCTTGCTTAAAGCGAAATGATTAAAACGTAAAAACAGAAAGAAGAAACTTATCTTTACAACATTGTCTTGTAGTTCTTTGAGTATCCATTCTAAGTCTGCTATCAACACATATGCATATTTTATGTTAAGATTATGTCTGATGTTAATAATTCCTCTGAGGCCTTTTAGGATCAGCTCACTGTACAGGTGAAATATATACAGTTACTATTACTTTGACTGCATACAGGCTCTTTGTTCCCAGTGGCTGTTACGGATTGCTCGAATATCTTTCCCGTGTAAATTAAGCTATTATAATATTTCAAGTAGATACCCTAACAAAATCAATTGTAAAATTTATGAAGTTATCGTTTGATGAATATTACTGGGTGATAATTAATAGTTCTTCGCTCCCAAAAATCTATACTTCATTTTTCTTTCTTTCTGGGCAATGCCATTCAGCCTTGCTTATCAATTTAAAATCAGTAGACAGCATCGCAGTAGGAGCTGGGCTAAAATAGTTTTTGTGGACCGACACGATCGATTCCCGTGTGGTCTTGAATCCTGATCGAGATGATTTGACCTTAAAGTAAACATTTCTTGCCATAAAATCTGGTTTCTATTTACTTTCACCATTGCATACTCGTCGGATTTTATATATATTAGGGGTACTACTTTTCTTTTTTACTTTCTTTTCATCGTTTACACCCCATGCAAGGCATTAAAGCCACTAAGACACAATGGGTTATTGAGTGGAGATGAATTTAGAAACGGAAAGAATAATAATGGAGCCGGAAGAGAGTTCCACAAGTGAGAAGAGCGAGAAAAGAAACTGCTAGCATAGAACTTACGGCTACATCTCGACAGGTCAGTATTGCGCTTAAAGTCAAAAAGTGTAGTTACTATAGTGTAGAACTCAACTGAACAATTACCATGAAAGCATTTATAGAAAAGACACAGAGAGGTAATCTTAGGGCGGTGGGAAAGTGATTGAAACCGAGTAACCAGATCATGACCAATAATTATGGTTATAATCCGAAGATCCTAAAGCGGATCAAATGAGAGATTAAATTTGGCTGGATGTTTATCGTGGAGATAAGCCGCATAAAGTGAAGAAACGATTATCTTTAAGTGCGGAGGAAAAATAGAAAGCGATATAAGACATGCACGTGTCTTCTTGTCGCACTTATTCAATATTTACAGTGAGCCGATTCTAAGAGAATGAGAAGTCCTATCAGAGAACAGAGGAAAACAACACATAAACCTTTTAAGTAAGCTTGAGTAAATAAATGGCGTAACAAATTTCAAATAAAGAATTTATTAAGGGCTAGAAAGGACGGGA